TATATATATATATATATATATATATATTTTCTAATTTAATAATATAATTCAAATTAATATATAATAAATTAATTTATCAGTATACATGGAAATAATTATATATAAACTATATCATTGATTGATATAGATTATATCAATTTATATAATCTATCTATATCTATATAATATATAAAGGGAGAATACACAAGTGGAGTTTTTAACATCTTTAATTTTGATCCCAAATTTTTTCATTTCTTTTATTTGTGGACTTATTTCCCTGATTAATCATTATTAAATTTTGTCATATTTATTAGTTTACCTTATTTCAAAAAACAATTTATTTATTACATTTTTTTCATTTTCTTCGATATGAAAAACCCGATTTTACAAAAAAAAAAAGAAAAAAGAATAATAATAATTTATCACACTAATAAATGTTTTGACAATAATAGTTTTCTTGCAACGATATTTTTTTATCTTTTATTATTTTAGTTTTTACCATAATATTTTATTAAGTTGAGTGCTTCATTTTTTGGTTATTGCTTGACAATCAATCCATAATTATTGTTTCCATACATACATAACAATTAATTCGTAGAATTGCTTTGATTGCACATATTTATTTTATTTATTTGAATGGCTGCTTTAATTGTTTCGAAATTTTTAACCTTTCTTAATTATGTTTGATAAAATTAATGATTAATGTTATTTTTTCTTGATCAGTTTTCTTCCAATGAATATTTTGGCCATAAATACTACATATCATCTCGATTAATAATTTTTTCAATAACAATTAATCATTTTTTTTTATCTAGATTAATGTTATATTTTTTTCCGGTGCATGTCTTAATAATTTTATAATACTTTTTCTTTTAATTCATTTAGATCCACAGAATCCGTGTATGTAATTATATATCCATATTAAATATTGATTATTAAATTATGGTAACAATGTGAATTTAAGGATTAATATCTAATCAATATATCAATCATTAATTAAAAATATAATTTACTACTATTTTTACAAAACCCAAAAAATCTTCTTACCGCATATTCTAACCCTATAAATATCACATTGGTCTCATCCATTTTTCACAACCCTACGTACAATAAGAGAAACGTTTCACTTTCTTTTCTTTTTTTATTCAACCTTTCCTCTTCCTTTGATTTTTTTTTTCTATTCTACATAATCTTTTGCAAATTGGAATTTAATGTATTATGTTCTTCTTGATGTTTTGGTTTCATTAATATTCGTTGCTACGCTTTATACAATAAATAAGTGTATAAAATGTAACAACAAATTTTTGTTTTTAGATTCTTTGTTTCATTAATATTCTTTCATTTTTTTTGTTAATATTTTTTTTTGCAGCATTATTTTTATTCCTTAATATTCGTTTTTTCGTTATAATTCTTTTATTTCTTATTTACGTCTTTATTTTTTTAAACGTATGCGAACTTCCATTATTTTTTTCCTATCACATTTTTCTTATACTTCCATTTTTATTCACTATATTCGCTCTTTTCTTGTTCCAGTGTGATTCTTACCAATTTTCGTCCCATTTTCATTTTTTCTTATATTCTCATTTGCATTCACTATATCA